CATCTGGGAGAAGGAAGGGGGTAAAAGGATCAGCATCCCACACGTTTGACCCTCTAGTTTTCTTCTTTTCACAGCTTCCAGGCACTGAGAAAAGGTTGCCCGAGGAAGATATGGGAGACAAAACCAACCCCTCGACCTACTGCTATGTCTTTTACGGTGGCAGAAGTGGACTTTTCTTCTAACAAAAAGAATAAACTTTTAACTACCCCTGGTCTCTTCACTTGTGTTCTTCTTACCCATATACTGTTGCAGTTGGCTCCTTTACTTTATCTTCAATCAGCTGAAGCTTAAAAGGGTTGTCCTGGGTGAGAGGAAGTCAGAGGTGATACGTTATTGAGAGGAAGAAGACATCTCCCTTGGGCCAAACTGATGTGGGAGAGTGCCACTGTCCCTTCCACGTGCCCTTGGCTCTCAGTGTCTCTGACACCTTCTGACCTTAAAGAGCTGACAAAGCTGTTCCCGAGAGGCCTCCAGCCGCCGGAAAGGGTGAGCAGCAGCCACGATCTTCTGACATGTCTGTTCTAGGATGGGCAGCTCTGAGCCCCGCACTGTCCTAGAAAAAGAACTGGTTAATCGACATATGAGAGGGACCCTTCCCAGTGTGCAGAACCAGGAATGGGCCATGGGAGGAAGATCCCAGAGGAAAGAAGAGATACAGATACACTGTCTCTAAGTGGTCTCTTAGAACCACTAAGGGAGACAAGACTCATTTGGAGAAGACAGAGGGACAGATACAGAGGCTATTGTGGGAGAGGGAGTAAGAAACTGAGAGAAAGACAGTACAGGCAGTCCAGCTGAGAAAAGTTAAGGACAATTAGCACTAAGGAGAATGGTCAGGAGAGGTTAAGCAGGTAAGGCCTAAAGTAACTTTAGATCAGAAAATCTGAAAGGAGAGGTAGATCACGAATTGTAAGAATGAAGGGAAATCTGAGACCTGGGGAGTAAGGTAAAGAATACCATTCCTTTCTCTCATTCTATGCTTGGCAAATAAAACACGTTTTTCACTCAAATCCCACTCTCTCAATGGAAAACAGAAAGCCAGGGGAAGCAGCACAGAGCATAGTGGAACACGGGGCCCATTCTAAAGAATCTTAACCTAGTCACTCTGCATTCTTCAAACTGAACACTGCTCTACCTCCACAAAGTGCTTACTGGGGAAACAAAACAAAACAAACCCAACAACTCCTTTTGCTCTCACCCTCCCCTAACTCTCCTCCACTTACCGATTCCCTCCGAGGGATATGTCATGGTAGAATCCACCAAGGGTGCTGGGGCCATGGCAGAGGAGGGCACCCAGTAGATGTTCAGCAGCTGCCCCGAGAACGTGGGCACTGGAATGCCAGAACAACTGGAGTCAAGAGAAAGGAGTTATTGATATATTTCCCTCCAAACCTCCTGACCTTTAACACTCTACATTTCATTAGCTCTTTACTCTCTTAACCTCAGGTAACTTGGCAGGACTGTAGGAGGGTGGAAAGAGATTAGACTTCAGGAATAAGGCAGATATGTAAGATGTTAGAGCTGAAAGGGACCTCAGAGATTTTCTAGTTCAACCCCCTAATTTTATAAGTGAGGACAATGAGGCCCCGACGAGGCCCAAAGTCAAACAGCTACTCAGTGGAAGAATCTGGACTAGAACACACATCTCCCAGCTCTCTGTCTAGTTCCATTTCTACTATCCACTCTGCTTCCTCCAGCAGTCATGGATGAATAAAAAGAGGGTATAAGGAAAAAAATATAGATTTCTTTCTCTGTTCCACAGCATGATATACTCCCATCTATGTGAACCATTAATTAAGTGGACAACTCCATTTGTCTTTTGGTAAAAGACCATGTTAAATTTGCTTCTTAGGAAGGCCTTTAGGCAGGGCTCTATCTTAGTCTCTTAACTTTCTTTTTCAACACAAAAAATACAGAATTCTCTCTTGGTCTTTCTACCGTCCTTTCTTCCTCCCCCCAAATATCTCAGGGACAGTGAATTATATTTGAGTTAGATTAAAGTCAGCCTGCATTAGCTGAGCAAACTAGGATAGGGGAAGGTGGAAGGCAGTCTGGCTACGGGATAGACATGGTGCAGAAGAAAGCTCAGAGAAATGGAGTTAAGAGCTCAGCTCAGATCCTGGCTCTGCCACTTGCTACCTGTATAACTTTGAGCAAATCATAGGGATGCTGAGCCTTAGTTTCCTCATTTGTAAAAGGAGAGGCCTAGACTACATAACCCCATATGTAAGACTCTGATGGTTTGTGAGAAGGCCAATCCACCTTTAAAGATGTATTTCAGATACTCCTCAAAGTAGTTATGTGGGTTTAATGTCTTTACAATGTTGTGTGCCATCTGTCTTCTCTATCAGTACACGTGGATGCTGTATTCAGAGGGAGAGAGGAGGCCTGGATTTTGGGCAAGATATTTGAGCAGTCTGAGTCTTAGTTTTCCCATCTGTAAAAGGGACATTATGATACTTGGCTGTACTTAACATGACGACTGCAGAAACCAACTATATAAACTATATAAAGTCTATGTAACTTCTCCTATTCAACGCACAACATAAACAGATAAATAATCAACATTAAAGGAAATAGAAAAAGCACTGGATTTAAGGTAAGAAGATTCTGTTGTGAGGATTAAATGAACATATGTAAACCACATGGCAAACTTTAAAGTGCTATATATGAATGTCAGCTATCGAAATCAACAAGCTTGAAAAGCTTTGATTATGAACTTGGTGATGGACAAAACTCAACTCAGCTAAATCTGGACAGACAGGGAAGAATTTTTTTGGGCATAGCAATTCACAAAGTTTGTCTAGAAGGTGTAGAAGAGCTTCCATCTGTTTAGTAGTGATAATAAAAGAATCAAATGTTGGGGGTGGGGACAGGGTGGTCTACGGCCATTCCCTTACCCATATGGTCAAACTGAGGCAAATTAAAGTGCTAGGATTAGACTCAGGAATCCAGGTGGAATGTTTTCCAGCTCAGATGTCAACCTAACCTGGCTGCTGGGGGTCACTCACCGATTTTCCTTCAGGGGAATCAAAAGTCAGGAAGTCAAGGTCAGCATCTCCCTCCAAAGGACGATCCATATCAAAGGTGATTCCATTTACTCGGGCAGCTACAGCAGTATCTGCCAAGGTAGGACTGGGATGGAGGGAGGGAAAGGACAGGGTCAGGATTCCTGCAGGAAGAGGGATCAAATATTTTGCTCTATTCTGGAGATTAGGAACACTGAACTCTGGAAGACTGCAACTTGTCATTTCACCCACAGAGAAGAAAAATAAGAAAGAGAGACTGAGATGAAAACAGAAGGACAGAAAATGTAACGGGAAAAGCTTTGTGATGGAACAATGGTGATCCAGGGCCAAGAAGGTACAATGGAACCTAGGCAGCTATGTGGCCCTGGGGATGGGTCTGGAGTCAGGGAGACCTGAGTTTGAATCTGGCCTCACTTACTACCTGTGTGACCCTGGGCAAGTCACTTCACCTCCGCCTGCTTCAGTTTCTTCATCTATAAAGTGGGGATAATAATAGTACCTACCTCCCAGGGTTGTGAGGATCGAGGGAAGTAACAGTGCCCAGCCCACAGTAGGCGTACATGAAGGTCAGTTATTGTCATGGAAGGCCCTCTTCTAGGGGTCCTGCTTTACATAAAGCATCACACACCTCGGAGACCATCTAGCTGCGGGCTGTCAGACCTACACCTGCACAAGCAAGGGGACGCGGGGCGGCCGGCTAAGTACCTGATCCGCTGGGCTACCTGGTAGGGCGTGGTGCTCCAGGCCTCGCCGTCCACCCTCAGGCCTCCGGGAGCCAAGACCCGGATCGGCCGCCGCTCCCTTCGGGCCCTCTCCGCCGACCGCTCGGCCTGCGCGGCCCACAGCTCCTCAAAGAGGCCCAACCTCTCCGCGAGCCAGTGGGGAAGGGCCGGCACCGGGGCCTGGGGGGAGAGCAGAGACGTGACGCTGGCGAGGCTTGGGGAGCTCCGGCCGCTGGACCGGGCCCGAGTGTGGCCACCACTCCGGCGGGGCGGGGAGGGCACTGGCGAAAGGCGAGGGATCGCCCGGGCTCGGGGTGCGGGAGGGGGTGTCCTTGCACGCACCGTGTGTAACCCGCAGCCCGCAGCCCTCCGGATCCCGAGGGTCTGCCACGGCCCACGCATGCTTGCGACCACCAAGCCGAGGCTCACAACAGCCCTGTCCCGGAAATAGCTTCTGCCGGTCCCCTTCGTCCCCACCTGGCTTCCGGTTCTAGAGCGTCCTCGCCTATTGGCTAAGGGGACCGTCACTCAACTGTCGTGGGAACACTTGAAAAGGCATACCCCAAGCAACACAGGGACCCGCGGCCGAGGGTTCCGCCTGCCTGGACTGCCCGGGATGCGGCCCGGGATGCAGCCCCGGGTCTGAATCCCTCAGGCGTCCAAAGTGCAGTTTTTTGGGGATCGAGTCTGACTAACCTGACAACCTGGTACCTTGGGAAGGCGCCCAGAAGCATGTCCAGCCATTTCAGTCCCCTTTAACTTTCAATGAACGTGCAAATGAATATGTGACAGATAAGACCTTCAACACTCTCCCCAGCACAAGCATCCTCCTTTCTGGCTGTCTCTGCATGCCCCCACAGAGGACTGCACATCCTGTCTTTCAGCTATCATGCTACAAAAACAGTTCCCCCCTCCCCTTCCAGCCCCAGGCCGAGCTTCCCTTATCTCTATTCTTTCCTTCCCACACCAAATCTGGACACAGTGAACTAGGGCTAAATTTGTTTATTGAATTGATCACAATGAAAATGAGGGTGAAGGGTCGTCTGGGGGAGGAATGACATGAAAGAATGAGGACGGACCGTGGGCTGTGGAAGGAGAGTTTTCATTCAGAGGTTATTTGTTCTGTGCTGCCACAGAGGTCACAGCTTCCTGAGGGACAGGGAGGGAGGAGTTTGAGTCTTTGGTCTGAGTCACAGATCCAGGACCCCAGATCTTGGCTCTGTCTTCTGACCTGCTGAACAGCCTGAAATGGAGAAAGAGAAAGAAACATTGTGGGAAAGGTTACACAACAGTGTGTGCATGCAGATCAAACAGAAACACAATAGGGCTGAAATAATTCATAGCAGGCAGAAGTCCTCACCTCTGTTTCAACCAGTGGGGAAAATGGGAAAGGGTGTGTGGATAAGCATGATGACCTAAACAACATATACCAAATCACACTGCAAGATAATGGAGATCCAAGCTGTCTACATTGACAGTTCCTATCAGCTCATCAGTTACCAAATCTTGATTCTACGTCCACAGTAACTTTCTTCTGTACCTTATTTTTTAAAATAAATTTTATTAATCACTTGTTTTCACATTGCCTGTTTCCCTACGTATTCCCTCCACTCACTCTTTCCCAGAGAGCAATCCCTTATGACAAAGAATAAGGGGAAGCAAAACTAATCAATATATCAAAAAAGTCCAACATTGCACAGCAATATGAGGTGCCTCCTCATATCTTCCTTGGGGTCAACTTTTGTACCCATCTGTGGACTCAAAAGGCCACAATCCTACTTCAGGCCCTCTTCACATTTCACCTGGAAAAAAGCAATAACCTCCTATTTAAACTCCCTGCTTCTATCCTATTCCTTTCCAATCTGTCCTCTACTTAGCTGCCAAACTGATAGGCCTATAACACATCAGCACCACTGTCATAAACTGTCATTCTACTCACTGTCCCTAGGATAAAATAGAAAATCTTCAGCCTGTTTTCTTAAGTTCTCAACAATCTGGCTCTTTCCTATTTTTTTCCCCAATGTCATTTCACATTACTTTCCTTTATGCCAGCTATTATAAACTGGTGGGCTAGCTGCTCCCCCTCAACATCCCACCTCCTCTGCCTATGTCATTGTGTAAGTGGTTTTCCATATCTAGCATGTCACTCCTACCTTTATATCAAAGTTATAGAATCCCTAGCGTTCTTCAAAGCTTAACTCTGGTCTTTCCCTCCAGCACTTGGCCTTCCTGAACTATTAACACTATCTTCCTCTTGTAATTACTTTATATTTATCTTTATACAACTTGTATTAATTATACCTTAAGGTCCTTGAGGGCAAGGAAATTGTTTTGTATTCCTTGTGACTGGCACAGTGCCCTGTATACAGCAAACACTTAGCAAAATTAAACCGAATCATTAAAATTGCTTTTCACAGAGCTTTGAGCCAGGAGAACGTTCTCTCAGGTCAATTCCACCTCTACCAAACTGACTAAGCTCTGAATCATCTAATTCTACAACCCCTGACTAGTGGCTGGGACCAGACTCAGCCCCAGGAGAGTAACCCCGTTAGTCTGACTGGGATATAACTACCCTAAGAGCTGAGGTTTCTACATTCCTCCTGTCATTCAACATCTCTGTTCTTCAGTGTCATCTGTTGACACTGGAGAAAAAAGGTCAAATGGAGTTCCTTTTCTTTCCTAGGAGCCTTTCCTTAAGGCCAGAGGCCCCAAATCCAGAGTAGATTAGACACTAGACAAAATCCAAAAGGGATGTCTTACAAATGCTCTTCTATCAGACTAAGGATAGGCAAAAAAGAGAAGCATGGTGAATGGAGGCCATAGACAGAAAATCCCTAGTAGCTTTATTTCTGGGAGATCACCAGCTCCTTCCCTTATTCAAGAGTGAAGAGGCATTACTCCATTGCCAAAACCACCAGCCAGATCCCTCCCATCGTGAAGCTTAGTACACTCCCCATTTTCCAGGTACCTGAGAAAAAGGGAGGGCATAGTAGAATCTTTTGCCAAGAAAAATGATCTGAATCCAATCTCTACCTGCACATATGTTCAAATTGAGCATAGCTCATAACGAAGCATTTCATCAAAGAGAAGACAATTGTTATACTACTGATGTCAATTTCTGCCGAATATGAACGAAGATGTGGCTGAAAGTACCATAGAAGTAATGGAGATTAAACCCCTCAAAGAAATTGGTCAATAGGAATTGAAGGCAAAAGGGTCCAGCAAAAGGGCTGCTGTCACTTTTCCTAGAGACCCCTTAGTAGGAAAGCAGCTCATTTACTTTCCTAGAGAGTTAAGGAATTTTTTTTTTTCCCCAGAGAGGGCAGGTGAATGGATAGATTGACCATTAGCCATCAGAAAATGCTAATTTCCTTTCTCAGGGTATCCCCTTCAGTGTCCTAAGACTTCAAAAGAAGTTGAGAATACTAAGTGGAATAAACCAAACATAAAGGGGAAGCAAATGACATGATTGTCAAGAAAGAGAAGGGCATGAAAAGAGAGCTTCCTATGTAGAGGTGGGCAAAAGTGGCCAGGGGAGTGTACTTAACTTGAATTCATAGGTTTTCAATCTAGAAAGGTCCCTAGCCATCTTACCCCTCTAGACAAGCCTTCCGGTTCCTTAAGAACTTGGACCTCAAAAGCACATTCATTTGTCTTACAGGCATACCTCTGATTCTAGTCCCAGCATGACAAGGAGAGCTGACAGTCTTGAACATTAGAATCACAGGAAAGTGAGAACTTGGGGTTTTTTACTTTTCTGTCTGTTCTCAATGGACGATGGGAAAACCTCGCCTGTAATAGTTCCATTCCACAAGGGAAAATTGGATTTGTCAGAATAATTTTTTTTCCCAAATGCAGCAGGCCCCAGGAAAGGCCTTTTATTTGATATGAAGTAGAACAGTTCTAGAGTGGACTGGTTTAGCCACTATTCTTTTTAGTCAAACAATAAACTTTTTCTCTTGTTTACCTTGCTCCCACCACCAGGAACTGCTAGCTCCTCCACCCATTCTACCAACTTTTGACATTTAACTGGTGAAAGACAGCAGGAAACTGGACAAGAGGGGATTAGCAGACTGCTGTGTGGCAATAATTAGAAATGCCTGTTTGTAGGTAAGATTACATTCTGTAGCCCCAAATATGATTGTTCAGATCCCCTTGGATGGGGGCGGGACAAGGAGAGGGTGGCAAAGGGAGGAGCTAGAGCATTTATTTTATCCTTCCCTTATTTGCTTTCTTAAGAGTTCTACTCAGGAGGGGAAAAAAACCCAAAAAACAAAAAACGGGCTGTTTGACTGCCAATAACTTAGTAATGAGTGTTGCTCTCACAGTCCTGTCTATGCAGCCCCAGTGAGTTATTACTCAGCTATTGTGAACAATAGCAGCTGACTGGGCTTGTCTATGCAGTTACTCATTAAAAAGTATGAGAAACGCCCCAATACCAAAAGTTTGTTTAAGCCCTTCTAGAATGTGTGATTGTAGCAATTTACAAGTTATTGAGCTTAAGCAAAAAGTAAAGCAGGCAATTTTTTTCTTTAATGATGAGGTTAAGGGGAAGTGTTGACATAACAGGAAAACTTAGAGCTGTGAACAGAATAAATTCCCTTTTCCAGAGGTGAGAAAGATGAACAGAACTTAAAAGAAAAAAAACTTAAGTGGACAACCGGGACGATTTAGGGACAGTGCTATTTTTGAAGTGTCCAGTAACACATATGAGAACCTCAGGTAACCAAGGGGAGTTTGTAACCTTCACCAGCCAGTGCCCTAATTGGGACAACCAGATGTTACTTTAATATCAAAGATTCATTTAACAGGCTACACAGGGCTGGGGAGGGAGAAAGAGTTGAGGATTCTAAATGACAAAGAGCACTTGGCAAGGAAGCAACAAGAAATGTGTGGGGTATGCTACATGTCCAAATAGCTCTCTGGCTGCAAACTGTAATTTTGTAGAGTGCAGGTAACCACCTGGACAGCCCGTGTCAGGCCCTATTAAGAATCCTCCTTTGAGAACTGCCTTTAACCTTCTACACCTATGACCCCCTCCTCTAAGGCGATTGTAAGAAGAATAAGTAGAAAATGTCCCTATCTGCTTTTCTTCTAAGCTTCCTTTCCACCACAGAACTATTACTGCTCCATCAAAGCAAAGTCCCAGGAGACAATGGGAAAGCAAAGAGAGATGATGAGCAAAAAATGTACCAAGGCCCCTTTGGATAAGTAAACAACACTACAGAAGACAGCATTCTTTATTAAACTGGAAAACAAAAATGATACTCTGAAGGAACTGGAAAATGAGTGAAAGGCCTATGGGAAAGGGATGTGTGGTAGGGAAAGGGAAGGAGACAATGTAGTTTACAACAGGGGTGTCAAACTCAGACCACAAAACTCCAGAGTACAGCCTACAAGAGACGAAAATGTAATTGGGAAATTTTTCACAAAATGAAAAAAAATACAACACAGATAATACTAATTTGTGTTTTTTTTAAGTATCTATGTTGTCAGGACCTGTTTCTGTTTGAGTCTGACACCACTGGTCTACAACACCTCTTGTGCAGGCCCACAAGTGTGCACAATAAACACATCTCTAAAGCAAAAGGAAATGCAACCCTGTCTTCAGAGACATATCCATGCTTCCTTCTTCGGGTTTCGTGCTGTTGATTTCACCATTGGTCCTGGGAGTCATATGATGTCTGCTGGAAAAAAAGTAAGATTTTGACCACAAGCCAGCTCTTGGATAAGGTCAGCTGCTCTCCAGTCTCCTGCTTGCACTCACCAGGGAAAACCTGAGGGCTTGCTCAGGACCCAGAATCTCAAAGAAAAATGTCAAACCTTTAGAACTAGTTATTTTATTAAATGTTATCAATACACATTTCAAAGGATCTGCAGTTTCATTGTTGTTACCTTTAAATGCAGGTACTTTTGTTTTCCACACTGAACACGTGAGACTATCAATCCAACATATCTATTTTTAACCTTAACAGGCACCCCACTCCCACCCTTACCCACCCCCCCCTCCCGAAAAAAAAGAGAAAGAAAAAAAAAGTAAAGCAGTCATTTACAGCGGTTTCAAAACAATTAACAGCTGCAGCTTAATTTTGCATAAACCAGCAACTTCAGAATAGGACCAAGTCTTTTGTAATTAGGAAGTAAAGCGTATTCACATTATCTAGAAGACTTTTGCCTCCCCATAAATTCACCTCCACACTGCAGTCCTCACTGGGAAGGCAGCTGATGAGGCATAAGACTAGGACATGGAGAAATGGGCCATGGACAAGCAGGTTTTGCAGTGACAAAAACACCAATCTCTTGCCAATGTTCAGGACTTCTACATCCGATTCTATTCACAAAGCTTAAAGTGATGCCGGTTTAATCTCACTCCCTGTCTCCCCCCCAACCCCCCTTCTCTGTCTGTGATTTCACAGTGAGCAGTAAGGATTTCAGCAATGACTTTTTTTTTTTGGCTTTCCTACTAATCATGTCTGTGTCAAGACACACAATGTTGTGTTTTCTTTAAAAAATATTTTGTTTATTGTTATTTTTTAAACTGAAGGTAAGATACAAAAGTCAGAGCACGGTCAAGGAGGTTTAAATCACAGACACAGAAAGACTAAAAGCTCTCAGTTCATGTTATGTATACCAGAAACGTCTTTTTTTCTTTTCTTGTTATAACATACATATATACACTGGTATCTTCTGTTACTGTTGTAGATAGTTTTCCTTGAAGGTAACAGTTGAGAGTTAAGTACTAACTCCCACCTCTATCCCCAAACACAAACATGGAATATTTTCTGGCTTAAAAAAAAAAAGCCACCAAAAGTCTGTCTTTTACACTGTACAACAAAGTCTTACTTTCAGGCATTCACCATCATGCTTTAATGAAAATCCACCCCCATCCCTAAAACATTCAGGAGTCTACTTTTTGGGCACCTTTCAGGCCATCTTCTGATGAAATCAAATGGTGAGAGAGAGCTTTTTCAAGTAAACACCACTTACAGTTTAAGCAAAGAGCAGCAGCAATAATTCACATTCTTATATTCCAAAGGGAAACACATTCCTTCTCTCCACCCTGCCCCTCCGCAAAAGGAAGTCTATTTCAGTATCAAAAATCAAACAAAACCCCAACTTCCTTTCTATGCTCCCCCCCCAACTGTAGGGCTCAATGTTACCGAACTGCTTCTTTGCTTATTAATCCAGCCATTCCCACAAAACTGCATGAATATGAGGAACTGTAGGGGACCTTGGAGAATCAGAAAAAGGGAGAAGAGTTGGGCTAAAGACTGGACATACATTAGGAAGACGGATGGTTTTTTAGCATCCTAACTACACAAGACATGAACCTCTAAGTTCAAATAAATAATGTGGAATAAGTTACATCAAACACTCCAAAAGGCTTAAATATGGTTTCTTTTCTTTAATACCAAAGTAAGCTTGTTCTAACAAGACAAAACCATACCTTCTGTAATCTCTCCACTCTTACCACCCCCTGCAAAACTGCCCCCCCCCAATCCAACCACCCTAGATTGTTCAGTACTTATACTTTTCTTATCCCACCCTTTTTTCCTGGCCTGGAAAGGAAGTATAAGAAGCCTGATGGATCTAATGAAAACCTCAGCCGATACTATTTCAATTACCCAGCTAGAGATTCTCAAAAGGACATTTCCACATGGGGTATATATTCTGGAGGCAGAGTAGGGAGAAGTAGGGCAGGGAGAGACACTAAATCACAAGGACAAAGGAAACAGCAGCAAAGCCAGGGCTGCTTCCCTATGATGCTAAATCTGATAGTGGAAACAAACAATAATTTCATCCTTGTTTTTCCCCAAGCTCTTAAAGCAATTAGATCCCTCTGAGGGCAGGGACAGAAGACCTTTTCTTCCTGCCTGGAGATTGAGGCTTCAGCTTTATTTGTGACAGCTTGCTACACATGAACCCTAGAAATTAAGATCCATCAGGTCCTCCTGTATCCACATTTCTCTTAAGGGGTAAGAAACACCACATCCCAAGCAGATATTGCATTTTAAAAATGCTATAGAAATTTATTTAGAAACTTGTGGGATGCAAATTTTTTCCCTCTCTCCTAATCATTGCCATAAATTGCTGACACAACCCAGAGAAAAATTCTTTTCTAGATACCAGAAACAATAACTACAGGAGACTCTAAATTCTGAGTAAAGAAATGTCTAGGGAGGCAGTCTTAAGAACAAAAAACAAAAAACTTCATAAGTATTTGTTTACATTATAACTAGATCTTTGCTGTAGTGATTTTCATTTTGGCAAAGCAAGAGCAGAGACAAAGGAAAATGGTAAAGACGAAGATACAGAAGCAGAGGCAAAGATCTAAGTGCAAATGTGTGAATCAGTCACCTATGATCCTGACCCTGTCCCTAAACTGTGTTTATGAAAAACAGAAATACGTTACAACAAATTGCTCTACCTCCCACTTCACATAGAATCTATTATCAATCTCTATTTTTACCCAGCCAGAAATCACCTTTCTCTAGCATTCCCAGAAATGAGAATTTTAGATCACAAAAAAGTGTTGCTCATTCTGTCCCAAAGATTACCTGTAAAACTACTGTGAAAGGATGTCTGAATTTTTAAATTCGACTTTAGGAGAGAAGAGGTACAGAGCAATGGTACATATGTGCTCAGAAATTTTAATGTGTCTTTTAAAAAAAAAAGCTACCAAAACAAAAACTTCCTAATTCTTCCCAAGCGGTTCCCCTCCATTGTCAGCAGGACAAAGACGGCCACAGTGAAGTCAGCTAAGCTGATTCTAGATAGCAGTGACATTTATGAGGTAAGGGGAAGAAGGAAAGGGCAAAATCCATCAGCTGGCCACATGATAAGTCAAGCCCCAAATAACACCCCAACATCGCACATATGTCATTATCTGTACTATTGGCAGTTTTATTTAAATGGCAATAGTCTTCAGAAAATGGGGTTAAAACAGATCTTGTTTTCCTTTTCTTCTGCTGCCCCATGACCCACAACCAAACTGAAAGGGGTGTGTGTGTGTGTGTGTGCACTCTCGAGCGTGTGTGTGTGTATTTACACCCCCCCCCCCACAAAAATAAATGAGGGTGGGAGGTTGGTAAGAAAAGATAGAAAGTCTAGTAGAGTTGGGAGGTGCAAGCAGAGATTTCTTTTAATTTAGGAAGGTGACATGGGGGGTGGGGGGTGGGTGGGCCCTTTATCACAACAATAAAAAAGGGAAGAAAAAAAAGATGGAAGTGAAAAGAAAAAAAAACCCAACAAAAACAACAAAAATAAAAGCACAGACAAAAAAACAAAACAAAACAAAAAAAAACCTACTTCCAATGCTCTCTAGAGTGTTCAAAATGCTCTCCCTCGATCTCCATCAGTACCTGGGAGGGAAGAATGGGCGTTTTGGTGCAAAGAACGGAGGGCCCCTAGCAAAAGGTGGCCTGGGCCTCTTTAGGCTGTGAAATGGGTCTCTGTTGAGGAAAGATTCCCTAGGCCGAAAGTCTGGCCGGGGATTCCGTAAGATCATTCCACTGCGGCTGATGGTGTCTCTGTGTGGGGGACCCAAGGCAGGGCCACTGCTGCTGCTGCCTCCCCCACCTCCTCCGTGGGCTGGGGCTAGGTGCTCCCGAGAATGTGTGGGCAGGCTTAGGCCCTCACGAACACGGCTGAGGCCAGGGCCATTGAGGTCCCTCTGTGTAGGGTCCCGGGGTCCTGGGAGCACTCCAAAATGCTCAGCCAGATTCCCTTGGAGGAGGGAGCTATGCTCCTTGGAGAACACTGCAACAGGCCCCGGCACTCCGCTGTGCTCTGCCAGGGGTGGGGCTTGGAAGGAGACCACCCCTGAGTGGTCAACAGGGGGAGGAGGAGGGGGAGGGTTAGAAAAAGGGACGCCACTGCCACCACTGCTACTGTGCTCCCCAGGGGGCGGAGGAGGAGGTGGAGTAGAGAAGGGAACCCCACTATGATCCCCAGGAGGAGGGGGTGGGGCACCATGGGCTAGGGCTGCTTCCTTTGTGAAGGGGTTTGAAAGATCCACAGAGGCCAGGTGGCCGGGAGTATCCCGAGAGAAGAGCCCACCATGCTCCTTAGAGGGAACAGGCGGGGCAGATGATGGGCCCATAGACTCTCTCTGGAAGGGTGCCCCATGCTCCAAGGGGGGTGGGGGGAGATGGTGTTCAAAAGTAGAGTTGAAGCTGCTGGAGCGAAAGCCGACACTTTCCTGAAATGAGGGTGCCCGCTCCTTGTATGAAGCTGCTTTGAAGCCAGAAAGCCCCCCTCCACTCCCACCCCCGAGGGGGGCCAGCTCTGAGGCACTCGAGGGGCCGTTGTCAAAGGAGCTGCCTGAGGGGCTCAGCTCAAACCAGCCCACCCTAGAAGGCTCACGCCCATGTCCTCTATTCCCTTTCCCCAGCACCCGGATGGACTCTACTGTCTGGATGGGCTCCCCTGACATCCTCCTGTTGGAGGCATTATGGTAACCCAAGGTTTCTATGGGGGCTCCTTTCTCCTCAGTACTATCAGGTAAGTCTAAGCAGGAAGAGGAGACCCGGGTTTCTATGCGGTAGTGCTCCTCTGGCTGCTGCTGCTCACTGGAACTCAAGCTGGGTTGGATGAGGCTGGTGAGAGTGACCCCATCACCGGTGCTACCCTTGCTGGGGGCCTGGCCGAAATGCTTATCATCGGAGGGCTTGCGTGAGGCATTTTTGAGCATATTCTTAAACTCAATGGTTGAAGTGGTAGAAATGGTGGAGGCCAGGACTTTTTCCACGCCTGAAGTGGGTGGCCGGGCTGTGGGAGTGGCAAGGGTGCTCTGCGGAGAGAAAAGGGAGCGGTGTGGGATCGAGTGAGGAGAGTCTGGGTACTGCTTCTGGGGTAAGCCGAGATGTGCAGTGGCAGACTGAGAAAGGCTATTGTGGTTGGAGTCAGGAGAGAAAAAGGAATCATTCTTACTCGGTGACGGTGACCGGTCTGACCCAGACTCATTCCCTCTTAGGTTATAGGCACCATACAGGCCAGGAGAAGAAGAGAGATGATCACAACTCTCACTTGGGTCCAGGAGAGCCCTCATCGCTGGAGGGAAGGCAGACTTCACACCAAATTCCTGAGTCCTGTGGCTGTAGCTGGACATGATGGGCTGGTACTCGGTGTCAGAAAGCTTGCTTGCTTTTAGGATAGACTTAGCTGGCTTCTTCTCTAGATTCATCATGGCTGATGGAGGGGGGCCTGAGTATTCAAAATCTCGGTAATCCTCATCCTCCTGGAAAGAGGTATCTGGGTAGAACTTTTCCTGTGGTGAATCCATGAGGGAGGAAGGCCTTTCCATTCCATCAGAAGTTTGCTTGTAGGGGGATTCACTGCCTAGGCCAAAAGGCCGATAGGAAGATACAGAGTTAGATAGCTCTTGGGAATAGCTATCATCCCTCCCTGGGGGTGGTGACCTTGTACTGCTGGGTGTGGAGGAGCCAGGACTAATGATTTTGGACAGCAAGGACATAGTATCCACATTACTGGACGTAGGCTTGTCCATCATCTCATCCTGGGTAGGAGTCCCACTCCGCTCATCCCGGACAGGAGTTCCGTCAATGTTGTCCATGGACGTGCTTGTTGGGCCTCGCTGAAAGTCAGAGGGATGGTTCTCAGCTGGAACACTAGCCCCCAGGCTGCTGAGGATTGGGATGTTCAGGTTTAACCCACTGAAGCCAGGGTTACCTTTCAAAAAGTTATGGATCTTCATCTCTAGGCTTGGGGAGGTGGGCTCTGATTCTAGCTTTGGCTTAGAGATCTCAGAGGACTGCCCCATAGCAGGGTCAGTGGATGGAATAGCAGGATTTGCACTGTGGGAAGCAGAAAATCCCAGTGAGTTGGATGGTGGCTTAAAACTTGAGGTTGGGAGCCCTGGGCTGTGTCCTACGGGAACCTTGCTAACTGAAGTTGAAGAAACCTCAGAAGTTGAAGAGTTAGGAGAATAGCTAAAGCTTTTGGGCATAAAGGATTGTGTATTAGAGGGCAAACTCCTCCCTTTCATGCTGGAGATGCTGGTGTTGGCTGGGGAAGATGAAGTGCTCTGGGATGCAGCTTCACTTGAAGCAACTGGGTTCCCAGTAACACTCTGAAGTAAGGATGACAGGCCTAGGAAGAAAAAAAATATTGGACATCTGAGAAACAGTAAAGACAAAGAACTTCTCCCAAACCCAACGAAAATCATGGAGACTAATCAGTCACTCCCATCCAGTCTGATGATACACTAGTAATATATCTGGGAAAAAAACACCACAAAGCTTTACAAGGAGTAAAGCAAATCTGGTCAAAAAATGCCCAATGGTTCAATGTAACTCAAAATACTGAAGTTATTTATAAAATATGAAAGAACAATAATTCATTAGCTGTTTCTAGCACAGGTTGGCAACATCAGTAGTCAGAAAGTACTTCCAATTGCAGAGCTTCAGATTATCACACCTGTTTATCTCTAAAAACTGAAACACAAAAAGACTACCTCTCTCTCTCTCTCTCTCTCAGACTAACGCAGTCACTGACTCCTACAAAGAAAAAAAAAGTTTTTTTGTGACCCTGGGCAACTGGCACAGTTGAAAGCCTGCCCCACTTGATGAGAAATCAAGTTTTCCAGAATGTCTGAGAGGGCTCCAGGGAGGAGTTGTTTCCCCATTGAAAAGAACTGCTCCTGTAAACATTTCGAAGAAAAACCTTCAATTAGTAATAGCAAAATACACTGAAGAAACCCAAGGTTTTAACAGAGCCTTAGTGTTCTAATCAATTATTAACCAAACTTTAAATGTCCTTATAATATTAAAATGACTAGCATCTTTTGGCATCAAATACATTAATTTAAGAAACAATTCCTTAGTAACATATATTGAAGAGGAAATAATACTTCAATTAACTCATATTTATTTGATAACCTTTTTGAAAATTTATAACCAATTTATAAACCTAAAGTTTTATGAAGGATTAATGTATGAAGACTGTCCTGGTCATGCTAACCTTAAACCACTTCTAGTAACCATAATCCACTTCTGAATAATTTTCCTACAGTAATAAAAAGCATTATCCTTCTGAAAAATAAAATTCAAGAGACTCAAACATGAGTCTCAAAAAAGTGCTTCTATAATCTAACTTTGATAAGCTATTTTTCAACAATGATATTAAGGCAGGATGAGATGAAATTCTCAAGAGCCACACTTCATTTCTGGACAAATAAAATTAACTTTCATCCTCAGTCTTATACTTCTGTCAACACCAGAAGAGAATGCAGTAGATAACTGTCAGTAAAAGTTAAAATGAGCTTTGTATCCTTGTATCTTGAGATCTAAGTGTTGTTAGATATATTTACTTTTGTGTAGAAACAACTCTATAAAAGTCGACAAAAGAAATTTTCTTGTTATAAAGTGAAAGGAGATATTTTATTTTTACTTTTATTCCTCGAAAAGTTACCCACTGCTCATTCTATTAGCAACAGAATCATTTTAGAATGTCTTTTCTGTATTTGTATTACAGTGGAAAACTCACGTGATACTTCTGCACTGATCTGCTGTAAGCTTCTGTTGTTGTTTAGTTGTCTCACTTGTGTTTGGATCTTTGTGACACCACTTGGGGTTTTCTTGGCAAAGATCCTGTAGTGGTTTGCCATTTCCTTCTCCAGCTCATTTGACAGATGAGGAACTGAGGCAAACAATTAAGTGACTTGCCCAGAATCACACAATTAAGTGTCTGAGGCTGGATTTGAACTCAGGGCTTCCTGACTCCAGGTTAGAGGATCTATCTATCACACCACCTAGCTGTCTGGTCTAAGTGAGCAAGTAGAATTATGAAAAAATAAAGGACTCCAATACTATTAGTGTACAATATACAAAAAATATAGCTATATTCAGGAGATGGAGATAAGAAGGGGAGTAAAGGGGAATTTATATTTATATTAAAATGTCCAAATCATCACTGAAATTAGTACTATGACGTGAGGCAACACTATCACTAATTTTATATGTTCTATGTCAATGAAAAGAAGAGTGATATGATCTTAACCATTTGGGAATGACCTACATACTCCGCTTATTAACAGGAGCTACTTCGATATTTGGACAGGTGGTCCATTTCAACAGTGCTAACCAAGCTGATCTGGTTATATAATGAATTCTATTAAATGTCCAAATCTTACACAACCAACGTCCCACCAGTCCTTGACCATGCAGCAATAAGGATAACGAAGACAATACTTTGGTACTTAGCACTGCCTTATAAACATATTATAATGCTACATAAAATATTCTAATATGAAAGGTTTTTACCAAAGGCTGTACTATATATTCTTTTGAAGAGTGGTTATTAGCAAAGAGCTGAAGACCCTTCCCTAAAACTTCTTCTCCTCATTGGGATATAGGTTCTCAAAAGCCATGCAAGCAGAAATCAAATTCTAGTAAGTTCAACCAAGTTGTAAAAGGCCTGTGAGTCATGCCTCGGCAACAGAAGAGAATGCACCTAATGTCTGAAGACCAGCCTAGCTACGAAAGGAAAGGTTAGCAACAGTACGCTGGCCACTCTTTATCTGGAGTAAGCCACAAAACAAAGAAAAATACAAAATGCCTTTCAGTTCAGTGTCATTTCTTTCTTTTTCTGCAGTGATGGTAGTGACGGTGGTGGAGTGGTGGAAAGGGGGGTAATGATGATAAGAATCATACATTTTAATCAAATCAAATTTAACTGTTTCTACAAAAAATGTGAAAGTTTTGTCTAATTACCAAATTATAATTTTAGAGAAACACTGCCACACTAATGTCGATGTTTCTGATAATAAAACTGGAAGCAAATAAACATAAAGTAGATATGCCAACCACATAGTGAGAGACAGACCGTATGCTGCACTGATATCTACAAAATGTTAAAATACCCAGAGGTGGTCCTTGAGCAAGCTGTTCTGTGGAGACATCTCACAGACTTAAGAGGGCTTGGGGGAAAGAAAACCCCCAACAATGATATGCTGGAACCCCTGCAGTACTGAAACAAGACACAGAGAGAAGACCTCCCACAGCTAGAGAGCCATACAGAGGGGCACAAAAAGAGAACGGCAGGATCCAACAAGTGCTCCACCTCCTCCGGTATGCGCATCTTTGCGCTGTGTGATAATGTTCCCATTTTCCCCAAATTAGGACACAATGAAGAAGTTTTCATGTTCAAATTTGTTACAATGGGGTTCTACAGGTATATGATCTGTTACTAGAAGATTAATATTTTGAGTTATGCTTTACTTTAGCTAGCAGGAAGATCCACGATGGCGTGGTAGATAAAAGCATGCCTCAAAGCCAGGAAGATTTGCATCTGAGAAGGGAATTTCTTCACTGGGAATTCCTTACATGGGAGTGGAGGGGAGGGAAGGGAAGAGGAAGGGAATAAACAGTTATATGCTTAATAAGAACCTACTATGTGGCAGGCATTGTGCCAAGCATCTTTTACAAAAATTATTTTATTTAATCCTCACATCAACCCTGATGGTAGGTAATATTATGATCCCTAGTTTACAGTTTAGGAAATTGGAGCAAACAAGTTAAATGACTTGCTCAGGGTCACAAAGCTAATAATTATCTGAGGCTGGATTTGAACTCAGGTCTTCCTGACTCCAGGCCCAGAGTTCTAAACATTGTGTCACCAGACGCCATCGATTACATGGATGAGATTACAGATTTTGTAGGGAGAAAAAATTATTACTTAAATGGTATTCTTTGAATCCACACTGAATAGAAACACATATGCAAATCTAAGTCCTTTTGAGACCCACTGTGTTACCTTGCAGTGCAGGCGCCGCCTGTGTCTGAGTTTTGGAAAGGGCAGAGAGAATGCTCTCCGGGGTGATTTCCACCTTTGAGAGGATGTTGGCCAAAGGGTTGTGAGATGTTGTCGTAGCAGGGACAGGAGCTTTCAGGTTGCCGGGGAGGTGTGTGGGACTTGTAGGAGTGCCTGGAGATGGTCTTGATGCAGGACTGACCCCTGGTGGAGAAAGATCAAAGTGCAATGAGACATGAATAATAATACCTGGGTTCATAAAATGTCAAAACAGAAAGGGTCCTGAGAGGTAATTTAATCCAGATCCAATACAGCATCTAAAACAAGGGCTAATCTAGGCTCACAGGGAACCAACTACCTCTAAGAACAGCCCATTCCACTTTTGGGCAGCTCTATTTCACTTCAAGTCTAAAACAGCCTCTTTGAAATTTCAAAACACAACACTCTAGTTCTGACTTCTGGGCCAAGTAAAAGAAGCTTGATAACTTTTCACCTGACAACCTTTTAAACTTGAGAAACAGTCAGCATGTCTCCCTAGTTCCTTCAATTAATATTCATATATTCTCCCCTGCTATTTAAATCAAGCATTTTAGAGGCTGTCCACAAATGAAATCATTTCACTAAGCAAGGGACTATTTAGAAAATAAGGTTCGTGGTACTTGTCTACACAGCCCTCTATCCTTAGTTCATGATGTATTATTTCTATTTGCTAAGTTGCCTCAGACGTATCTGTCTCTTCACATGTATGTATTTCATTTTCCCCCATTAGACTTTGAGTGGGACAAGGGTAGAGTCACTGTACCTTTCCCTGTGATATACTGGGCCCACACTACAGGGACCCATACATATTGCGTGCTTAATAAATGTTGCCATTTAACTATATCAACTAAACAGAAGGAGAAAGGTTGCTTGAAAGATAGGAAGTGTTCTGCTACTAGAAAGTTTATTATCACAAAACATTTTTCCCTTTTAAAAAGACTAGGTAAGCAGTCTCCTTTTCAATTATAATTAGGTTTTTAAAATGTTAGCCTAATTTAATACTTGAGAATAATCTTTTCTCACCTTCCTTGTTGGCACTTACCTGTATTCTTCATGACAGATGTTAGACTGCTAAGGATGGAACTGATCTTTGCCAGATCCACATTGGCTAGATTCGGCAAAGCCAGGGCAGGGGAAGGGGGCAGAACTGATGTGCTCATGGGTTTTGGTGGTGGTGGAGTTGATGTCACACCCACAGAAGCGGTGGTGCAAGGCGCTGCCTTTGGGACACTTTCTGTTAGTTTAGTGGGTGCAGATGTGGATACAGCTGGCTTCTCAACAGGTTTTTCCTTCCTGTCCTCCACTGTTTAAAAAGAAAAGAGCAATGAAGCATCCTGCTGATGGCCTACGTTTTTCTTTTGCTAAAGGCGTACTATGTTTCTTCCCTGCTTTATAACTGAATCTGTGACTGAAATTTACAAATGCTACAGAGAAAAATTATCATGAGTTTCCCCCCCTTAATTACTTAAATTCTTGTTCTACCATTTCACAAGCTAGATCAAAATTTCACAGAATTTCACCTTTCACAGAACCTTCTCTAATTAAACTATATTCTCTGATTAACAAGAATTTATTAAGCACTGTTGGTACCAAATGCTCTTTGAGGTGCTAGGGTTAAAGACAAAGGGTCTAAGATTATATTCTAACAAGGGAGATAGTGTGTACATAGATAAATACTAAACAACAAATATGAAACAGATATAAAGTAGCCTTGGGCAGAAAGGCCCTAGAGTTGGGAAGTCCAGCAAAGGGGCCATGGAAAAGGTGGTGCTTGAAATGAGTCTGGAAGAAAACCAGAGATTTCAAAAGTAAAGGCAGAAAGGAAAAACAGGGAAAAGCTAATGCAAAGGCAATGATTTAGGAGATAGTATTACATGTGAGGAGCCGCAAGAAACTCAGTATGGCTGAGCTGTGACATTCATAGAGCACAATCGTTATTGACAACGCAGGAATAATTAAGATGGGGCTGGTTTATGAAGAGCATTAAATAACAAAGGGTAGGGTTTATAGTTGATCCTGGACTTAATGGGGAAAGCCACTGGAAGATTTTGAAGCTGGTTTCCTGAGGCTTGATGAAAATCACTTTGGCAACTGTGACGACAGCGACATGGGTGGAGAGGGGATGTGTAGGACAGATGTAGGACAGAGAAATGACAACACCTGGCAACCGACAAGATATGTGAGTTAAGAGTGAATGAGGAGTCAAGGAGGGCACTGAGATTGTGAACTTGGGTGACTGGAAGAATGTTAGTGCTCTGGGTAGTAATAAGGAAGCCTGAGGAGGCTCAGGTTTTGGGGAGAAGACATGTGTTTTGTTTTAGATGCGCTGAGTCTCTGGGACACTCAGACAGCTGATGACGGGAGACTGGAACTTGGGAAGGATTGTAGGCCTGGATATACAGATCTAGGAATCATCTGCATAAAGATGATAACTGAACCTATGGAAGCTGATAAAGTCATCAAGTAAGAGAGTAGAGTAAAAAGGGCCCAAGCCAGAATCTTGTGGTATACCCACAGCAAGGGGTGGAATGCCATGGATGAATGGGTGAAGAAGACTGAGAAGGAACACTCTTATGGGTATGAGGAGTACCAAAAGAAAGCGGTGTGCTAAAAACCCAGAGATGGGAAAGCTGTTGTCAACAAGATAAGAACTGAGAAAAATCCAAAAGATTTGGCAGTTAAGAAATTATTGGTGGCTTGGGAGGGAGCAAGTTTCAGTTGAGCAATAAGACTGGAAGGCAGACTGCAGGTGGTCTACGAAAGAAATAAGAATGTAGCAAGAAAAGGCAGAGAGGAATGAATAAAGTCCTTTCTGATTCCTTTACACCCATTTCCTCTAGTACTTTTTACCTTTTAAAACCCTCCTAATTAAATTTAGATTTTAAAATAATCACTCTTAGACTTCATTGGGAATATAATATGACACAAAATATGATTTGCTCATAACAGCAAGAATAAGTGTCTGAGACTAGTACAACACAATGATGGCCCTGCAGTGTCACCTCAGCAGCTCAGGACAGGTTGGAATGAGCATTCAGGAAACAGTCTGTTAGTTCTTAAGAGAGAATCAGGAAGAAAGCTCTAGTTAGTATCCTTCTTTTCCCAATTGTGTAAGGACTAAAGTACCTTTGGAGGCTGTCTATAAGTAATCTACCATGAAACATCAAACTATTTTCCCTTTTTCTAAGTCCAAATGTGGTAGTAAAGAAGAACCAGCATTTCTCTCTTTGGAATATTAAAAGCAAAATGATCTGCACATATTTGCTTATCTCCTATGGACATACCGATGATTTTTGACGTATCATCCTCCACATCAGAGAGTTCCATGTCTTCTACATCCCGGTTATCTGTAGCAGGCTCAGGGGTGGCTGATTTCTCACTCTCCACAGCTGGTGACTGGGACTCCTCTCCTCCCATTCCCTGGAAAGGGGACTCAGAACCAGTTGGTGAGGGGGCATCCATGCTTGGTGAAGGGACTGGAGATTCTTCAGGATCAGGCAGGGTTGACTTAAGCTGATCTAGTTTCTTCTTTAAATTGTTCACTCTGTTAGCAAAGGTTTTATATGCCTGGTAGAGAGGGAGAGAACTTATCATTCTTCTAAAGAAAGGACCAACAATTATTATTTTGATTCAGTTCAAATTAACCAAGCATGTGCATGGTACAAAGCACTGTGTACCATCAATACTGAGTATGAGTATAAAGTAAGAAAAGACTTTCCTTTTTGCCAAGAAGTTTCCAATTTTCCAAGAGAAAGTAAATTCTAGCCAATGTGGGCCCATCTCTACAAAGAACCCCAGGCAGCTTCCTGTGATGATGGGCTAACAGGCAGAGGATCTAGAAGTCACAGTCATCAGTGCTCTCTCCCAAGCGCAGGTTATCCCACAAGACAAACACCCAATTACCCACAAAAGTATTACCATTAGGAGGTTTATCACTTACATTGGCCACCACTTTGACTTCCTTGTACTGAGCTTCATAGAAAATTCCAGCATTCTCCAGTGCCTCTGTCAGGGAGGGCCCATTCTTCACCTGCTTGTCTAAGCCACTCACAAATTCTTCCAGCTTGGAGCTTGCCTCTTCAAATTCTTTGGAAAACTTTTTCCCACCGGTTTTATCTTAAACGACAGAGGCATTCAGATCAGGAATCTGAAAGCTAAACCTAGAATAAATTGTAAACTACCCAAGGGCAAAAACGGTATCTTATCTCGCTTTGTATCTTTCTCTGTGCCCACCATAACAACGTATTACATGGTATATAGGCACTTAAAAAAGCCTTTGCTGAATAAATGAAAACACTGTTGAGTAAGTTCTCTCTCAAAAATCCAAGAACCCACTTTTGCTGCCCCAGAGCATAACCTACTATGTGGTCGTACAAGCCAACACCTCAAAGAACTTCCCCAATTCCTAAAACTGCCAAGTATGATTCAAATGATCTTGTTGGGGGAAGAGACAGAGCAAAGGGGAAAGGGAGCCCAACTGCTCCTTGGAAATAGCTATAATTGTAACTAAAATGTGGCAACTGCTTCTTACCTTACTGAATTCAATGTCAATGCAACCTAACAAGTTTCAATCCAATTTTTAATATTCCTATCACAGTCTTCCCTATGATGGTCAATTCACCTGGGATATAAGTAGGTGATTTTCAAAGATGAAACCCCAAATTCTGTCATGATAAAATGAAATTCAGCATCAAAAACAATCAGATAACGCCTGACGCAATCGTATGTGTATAACAAATGTTTGTTTAATGCTGGGTAGTTAGATCACTACCCTTTTACCCCCTAGAGGAAGAAGAGTGACATGGTAAGTCAGAAAGAATCTGAATGACTATCAAGTTGTGGAGAGTTCTGTTCGGGTCCAGACTGTACAAGGTGGCAACTGAAGTCCCTTTTATCCTTCTGAGTATAAAAGAGTACAAGCCCTAAGGAGGGTTATTCAGTTTTCTGGCCACTGGCAGACAGCCTCTAGTTCTGGGAAACACTCTTTCTCTGGGATCACTGCATGCACTGTTTCATCTCAGAACCAGAACCAAAAATGAGACATAGATGGCAATGAGGCAACCTAGGTACAGCCTTTACGACAATCCTGCGAAGCCTGTAGGTCAAACAACATTCTCTTTAAAAGTGAGGAAGCCAAGGCCCAAAAAGGTTAAGTAAGAGAAACTGACCTCTCTGTGTCACATTAAAAATATTACATCCTTCACATTTGGGGAAAAAAAAACACCACCAAAAAACAAAAACAAAAACAAAAACAAAAAAACCTCTAACTAATCCAGGTAAGACAAGTACCTTGACTTACTTATTCAGCATTGGATTTACATAACCTCTTGTCCATTACCTTTCCTTGATCAATGACATACATTTGGGATAAAGGCAAATCTTGTAGCCATGGAATAGAGAGAAAACAACTGGCTGATGTGGGCCTCACTATGCTACATCACTAGATCCTCCCAGGAGGTGATCTCTATTTAGTGCCAGAAGTAACCTCAGAGGCAAAGCTGGTTTAACTGTTCTCATTTTATAGAAGCGGAAACTGAGGGCCAAAGATAAGGTGACTTGCTCCAAGGTAAAAGGGGACAAGAAGCAGCTGAGCTTGGACTGAAAATTTGAGACCCGGCACCTTCTCCACTTGTCTTGTCTGCTTTCACACTGTCCACATGAGCACATTCCCAAACCATTTGCACAAAATCTAACAGACAAAACCAAGTAAGTTTAAGAAATACTATATAGCAGAGGAATGGGAAGGCAGGTAAGATTTTATTTGCCATTTATATTTATTAAGTCATAGCTTAGGAAATCAGTACCAAGAACAATCTGTTTTCTAGGACCACAGGAGGAAATGAGTTTGCCTATCTCCTTAAAAATGTTACCTCTGTTAAGAAAATGGATCACTCTACTTAAAAAAAGGACATTTTAAGCAAAAAAAAAAAAGATTAAAAACCCAATGGTGGAAAAACTATGGAGAAACAGATGCTTTCACCATGTAATCTGCATTGTCAAAATAGTTTGGTGGAGCACACTGATGGCGTTTAGAGCTCCAAAACTGATCAAGATCACCTTGACCCAACACTCCCACCACTGACATAAACTCTAGAAAGGAAAAGAAAAAGCACAAACTCATTGTACAAACATATTCAGATTTTGCCATTTTGACTAACATATATAACAATTTCTATGCATAAATATGAAAAAAATATAATGCAACATGGAGAAAAACAATAACCCCCCAAAAAACCACCCAAGAAAGGATGATATATACACTGATTATACTTTTCTATTGGTTATTTCCCTATTACCTATAAACATGCCCATGTTTACTCCATCCTCAAAAAACCCTCACTTGATTCACCCATCCCTGCTAGCTAATGTCCCTACTTCTCTTCCCTCTGGTGACCAAACTTGAGAAGGCCATCTATGATAGATGCATCTACTTCCTTTCCTGTCACTCTCTTCTTTTTTGTTTGTTCGTTTTTTGTGAGGCAACTGGGGTTAAGTGACTTGCCCAGGGTCACACACTATTAAGTGTCAAATGTTTGGTCTGAGGTTGCATTTGAACTCAGGTCCTCCCGACTTCAGGGCCGGTGCTCTATCCATGGCGCCACCTAGCTGCCCCTCTTGTCACTCTCTTCTTAACCCGCTGAAGTCTGGCTTCTGACCTCATCATTCAACAGAAACTGGTCTCTCCAAAGTTACCAACAATCCCTTAATTGCCAAATTCTCCTCTCCATGTTCATCTTTCCCGACCTCTCTGTAGCCTGTGACGCTGTCAGCAGTCTCTTGGCTCCCCGTGGATTCTCCTTGTTCCCATGTGGCCACTTCTCTGTCTCTTGGTGGATCGTCACCCACATCATGTCTGCTAACAGCAGAGGTCTCACACAGCTGGTCCTGGGCTGCCTTCTTTTCTCCATTTATACTATTTCCCTTTGTGATTTTTTTAGCAGATGATTCGAAGATCTACATGTCCAGCTCTAATCTCTCTCCCTTCAGGCTCAAATCTCCAATTGCTTTTTAGATATCTTAAACTGGATGTCCAATAGACATCTTAAATTCAACACGAACTCATTATCTTTCCCCTCAAAACTCTCCCCTCTTCCAAACTCCCCTCTTCCTAATGAGGGTACCACCATCCTCTCCGTTACTCAGGTTCACATTCTAGGGCTCATCTCCTCAACACCTCACATTCTCATCCTACATATCCAATTAGTGATCAATTCCTATAAATTTCACCTTTGTAACATCTCTTGTATAGACTCCACTCTCTCCTCTGACTTTGACAGCACCCCATGTCCTGATTATTTTAATAGCATGCTGGTTGGTCTCCCTGTCTCTTCTCTCCATCCATCCTCACACCTCAGCTATTAAATTAACCTTTTTAAAACATAGATCTGACTGTATCAACCTATTCCTCCCAATTCAAAATTCAGGGGTTGGTCCCCTATTACCTCCAGTAGCAAATATAAAATCCTTTGGCTTATAAAGCCCTGAATTTAATAACCTTGGCCCCTCCCCCTCCCAGCATCTATGTACACACACACATACACATACACACACACACAGTTGAGTCAATGAACAATAAAAAACTTTTTAAAAAAGCAATTTTACCTTTTAAGCACTTGAGGGTCTCTGTACTGCACACATCTACTCGCATAGTGGCCAGCTGCTTCTCCTTCAGTTCAATCTGGTCCTCAGAACGCTTGTATAGCAGTAGTTCATCAATGAGAGCCTGGGACTGAACACAACCACCACAGGATTTAGCATATTATACACACTATGCTAGTGTACACCTGTCTGATCATTCTGTACCATACTTGTTTTCAATCTAATATGATCAAAGTTTAACAAAACTTTGAAGGAAACAGCTCCAACACTCCTCATCTAAAAATCCAGGGGCTTCTATATAGATTATTAGATCAAAACAACAATCCTCCAGAGGGCATCAGTGGGTGTAGGGTTAAATACAGGAGGCCAGGGAAGTCTATTTTGGACTTTTAATGAGTAAAATGTTGTTTTTAACAACATTCCATACATTAACTCAAACATGCAAATTCTATTTTAACAGATTTTCATAAAGGAAGGGAATTCCTTAGGATTTTTTTTGGGAGGTGGAAAGGATTGAAAGGAAAGAGTCAGACCAGACCTATGATTTTGTCTCTGTAGAGAATTCCCAGTTAAGGAAACCTCTTCCACCAATGCAGAATGGCACCTTTCAACAATTTATAGCAGGAGAGTTGCCTGGGGCACTTGGAGATTAAGTGACTTGCCAGGAGATCATACAGAGGATCTGTCAGAAGCAGGACTTGAATCCAGGTCTTCCTGATTCTTAAGCCTGCTCTCTGTTCACTTTCCCATGCTGCCTTACTCCTTTAGCTATCAGAAATTTAATATGTCTGTCTCTTGGCACCTTGAATATGTACTTTGAAAGCAGGTTCTCACTCAAAATAATACATTAATAAAAATCAAACTGCTTAGTCCAGGGGTGGAGAACCTGGAGCCTCGAGGCCACAGGTAGCCTTCTGGGTCCTTGGGTGCAGCCTCTTGACTGATCCAAACTTCACAGAACAAATACTCTTAATAAAAGGATTTGTTCTGTAAAACTTGGACTCAGTCAAAGGACCATACTTGAGGACTTAGAGGGCCACATGTGACCTTGAGGCTGTAGATTCCCCACCCAAAGCCCTAATCCCACTGATTTACTTCTCTGCCCTCATCTGTCAAAAGATAGATAGATACAGATAAAAAGACATAAAGTAGCCATGTATATATCTATCTATGGAAAATATAAATAATGTTTATTATAAATATATAACATATATAAATATTTAATATAAATAAATATTTATTAAAAGTGACTAGCATACAATATGCTGCTTTGGCAAGTTTCACTATTTTGTAACTTACTCGAAATTCGGCGACTATCTTAGACTTGAGAGCAGCTTTAGGGTTGGTGGAGGCTGTTGAAATCAAGCAAACAAATGAATTTAGAAGTCAAGGAAATATGGAGAGTTGCACCTGAAATTCAGGAAAAAAACCCATCTTCTCTAAGTTCTACAAGATATACAGTCTAAAAGTTTATTCTCTGAATATATGTCAAACATGCATTTGCATATCATTTGTGTTATGTCATTATTTTAAACATTAAGGATTTTCTGAAGGCAATGAGGGAAATACTCTCCAGAGCAGAAATTTTGGCACTTTTAATGTACCAAAAGAGAAAAACACATACTCTACTATTTAGTTGGCCTTAGCCCACTTACCTCCAAATAGTCCCTGGACACGCTACAAATTCTGAAATACTAAGTGGCAGGGCATAGCTGTCCTACTGTGCTGTGCAGTGGCAGCATTTCAACACCACCTAACAAAGAATCTGTCTCTCAAGTCAATTAATTGTGAATAGTGGCTGAAGAACATCCCTTATGGATGTCGCCTTTTCTATCCCTAAGTCTTTAGCCTAGGGTGCCTTTACTAATTTAATAGCAGAAGTAGGCAGAAAGTTCTAAAGATATCTCTGGTTGACATTTTGCTGAAATGTTGGCTCCCTGTTATTAAATATGCAAATTATGGACAAAATGATGCCAGTGGTCTCCCTAATCCACACTGAATATTACACGGCTGCTGGAGCAAAACCATCTCAAGTTATCTTGCTTTAGCCATTCATTTCTACTGTCTATTACCCTGATTTCCTCCACGCTTTCAAGTCCGTCTCACTATTTCTCAGTTCTGGCCCACACCGGCTACCACATGCAGTATAATCCATTCCCCTGCTCTCTTGCTGGGAAGCTTTCATAAAGTATGGTAAACCTAAGAAGAGCTCCAGGTAGAGAATAAGCTTCTGGCCAGGAGGGAGGCCACATCTACTCTGGCAGAGGGTGTCCCCAACTCTGACGGGCTTCGTGGCTCCCACAGAAGTGCTTCTTATGCCTATTCTGTTCTTCAGCTCTGTTGTTTAATGCCTCTAACTTCCTACATCCTTGAACCTGAAAATAAGCCTCAGAACTATCATAAAGAGATTTTCTTCTTTTCTTTTTAAAGTATCCCCCAACTACTCTTGAATCTTGGCATATTTAAACCCTTTTGATGTGTTTTCATTGCTTAAAAGTGATTTTCTAGCAGCAACTCCTTGGTGCCTTCTAAGAGTATGCCAGTGGGAGCTTCCCAGGCCTGGACAACAGGCTTGCCCATGGTTTATGCCAGGTGCGTTGCCAAATGGTTTACATTTTCTTCTGCTCCACAAAAAAGGAGGTCATTTTACATTAGTTGAGATAGGTCACTTTGGTTTCCTTACTTTGTGATTTCTTCCACAGCTTATTCGGTTGTTTGTTCAGATTTTCTTTCAGCTGCTTCTGAGTTTTGAAAGTGGTACCTGGAAAACATTTCAGTTGCTGCAGCCTGGCATTACGGGAAGCTGCTCTGACTCTCCACTTCAGTTTTGCCAAAGTTGCAGCATGATAAAAGGAAATCCACGATTGTGTGTGGTTTCTTTTGTTTTGTCCTCTCTCTCTCTTTCTCTCAAAAATACTCACCCAAATCTAAGAAGCTGCCAAATAAAAATTTTCTAAAGTCAATGAAATTAATGACCAAGAAGAATGGAGGAAGATGTAAAAAAAACTCCCTCTTAATAAATTGCAATTGGAAATTCAACAGCTTCTTAGAAAATATTCTATTTTTAAAAATAAACTTTTATATAATTGCTGGTCAGTGTCAGAAATTACTGGCTCCTTCAGTTTTAATAACTTATTCATAATCAATTAATCCACAGGAAGAAAGTAAATGGAGATTTCTCTGCTTCATGTCAAGACAGTTTTAATGTAAATACTCATTACTTACTTTAGTATCTAAACAAACCAAAGGTATCTGAAGAATGACAAGGTGTATTTGCTAACAATGAGAACTAGTACCCTTGTTCTTGAATTCAACAATAGGACAGAGGAAAAGCAGATTTAGATTAATAATACAAGCACTGAGCAGCAAAAATACTCTATTTCAGTAGTACTGAATCTGCTCTAACTTGCATTATTCTAGCAAAAGCAGAGGACACATTTTCGTCATTTCCATATGTATGTATATCACATATTTTTTCAGCTTATTATTATTTGATGTATTCCACTTTAGTTGTATTTTTCCTAGAGGCTCTAGGTTAATTTATTTAGCAACCAAAAAAAGTACTCTTTGTAGGAAGTCCATTTGGGGGTGTCCTACCCCACACCTTAAAAAGCAAAGAAAAAAGGTAAAGGAACTAAGATTAAAAATTTTAAGAAAAACTAGATACTTACTCAAAGCTTCTTTTAGTACCACAATCGTTTCTTCAGGGTATACATTTCTCTCTTCCCAGATTTTAAAAATCCGTTCTACAGACTTAGAGACAGATGGATCCCTAATTGAGGAGAAGAAAAAGATATTATAGTTTAATATTCCAAATTGGTACTCCAAAAATAAGCACTCATGCTAGTAATGAACACTTAAGTTTCATGATTAAAAAAAAATTATCTAGGAACACTTCTCTATAGTATCTAGTGCAGAACCTGCCATCTTAAAAAACAAAAGTTCTTTAAAAAAATCTTGATGTGCATGCATACTTTTCTGATTGATTCTTTAAACTACTCTTCTCAGCTTCTGTTCTAAACCTTCTCTTGCCAAGCTACCTCTTCTGCTCTTTTCTTCTCTCTCTTAGCAGACAACCTCACCACGGATTTCATTGAGAAAACTGACACTATCCATCCTGAGCTTCACTTTATCCCCAACTCTATGCTTCAAATCATCTCTATGTTATCTCAAACTCTCCTCCTATGCTCCAAGCTGAGGAGGAAGTGGCTCTTACAAACACCAGCCTTTCTTTTTGTGCCCTCAGTATCAGCACTTCTTAGCTCCTTGGAGGAACACCTCTTTCTCTGCCCAACTTTCAATCTCTCCTGATTCCTACTACTTACAAACATACCAAGATCTCTCCCATCCTTAAAAAAAAAAAACACAACAACCTGAACTTGATTCTATAATCCCTTTAAGTTACACATCCCTTCTCCCACTTATTTCACAGCCAAACTAGGAGAAGCTGCCTACATTTACTGCCTTCACTTTCTCTCCCACTCACTACTCTATCCTTTACAAACTGCATTCTTATTTTAGTCAGTAAGCATTCATTAAGTACCTATGATGTGCTAATACATAAAAAGAAAGACAAGAAAACAGCCCCAGTACTCAAAAAGCTCACAGCTTAATAGGGGCAGAAAGGGAGACAACATGCAAACAGCTGTATATGTATATATATACACGTGTGTGTATGTGTGTGTATATATATATATATATACACATACACACACGCACACACATATATATGAACTGGAGATTTTTATCAAGAGGAAGGCACTAGCATTAAAGGGGATCAGAAAAGGTTTTTTTTTTTTTAAATTTTTTTGGCAATTTGGGTTAAGTGACTTGCCCAGGGTCACACAGCTAGTAAATGTCAAGTATCTGGTCTGAGGCCACATTTGAACTTAGGTCCTCCTGACTTCAGGGCCAGTGCTATGCTCCCTAAAGTGATTTTTAATTATTTTTTTTTGGGGGGGTGTTAGGTAATGGGGTTAAGTAACTTGCCCAGGGTCACAGAGCTAGTAAGTTAGTAAGTGCTATGTGTCTGAGACCGGATTTGAACTCAGGTCCTCCTGAATCAAGGGCCGATGCTCTATCCACTGTGCCACCTAGCTGCCTCCAGAAAAGATTTCTTGTAGAAGGTGGGATTCAAGGACTTACAGGAGCCTCATCACTCCAAACTTCCTAATGATCTCTTAACTGTCAGATCTGATTGCTGACCTCTATGGAGCATTAAATATTGTTGACTATCTCCTCCTTCTCAACCCTCCTCCCTGGATCTTTGTGCTCTCTTCTGTCTCTCTTCCTACCTGTTTGGCTGTTCCATCCTGTCTTCTTTTCTGGATCATTATCCAGTCCTTATATACCTCATGGCTCTGCTCTGGGTTCTCTTCTCTCTTAGGATCTTTGTCAGCTGAGATTTCAACTCTTATCTCTATGTATTCAATTTGTGATTTTGTTTTGCATCTCCAACTAGCAGCTATTTCTAAATATCCCTTAGGCACCTCAAACTCAGCATGTTCAAAACGGAACTCGTGACCTTTCCCCTCAAACCTACCCCCTCCTTCCACTGCAGGCTCACAATCTCAAAAATCTCTTATCCTTCACCCCTCATGTCTAATTAGCTGCTAAGCTTTGTTGATTCTATTTCTATAACACCTCTCCCATCCATCACCTTATTTCCACTCATCCACCATTCTGGCTAAGCCCTTCATTATCTCTTGCCTAAAGGTTACTGTAATAACCTTTCAATTGTTCTGCATAGATCTGACCATGTCATTATCACTGAAGAAGTTCTACCTCCCTCACTGCCCAGACAGATCTTAAAAGTTCATTCAAAAGTTAAACATCTATTAGGTACAAGGCTTCTTCAGAGGCTTGAATGATTGAATCCCTGGCCTCAAAAAACTTACATGCTACTATCTACCACAATAGTAGTAGATACAAAAAGGAATGCCGCGCATAGTTTACTGTCTATCCTTGATTATGAGACAGCAGATTTCAAGGAAAAAGAAGGGGTAGATTGGATCCATAGTCTAATGTAAGAGCCAGGTAAAAAGGGCTTGGCTGCTCTAAAGAATGAAGTCTGGTGACATAAACACATATGATTCTAATGAACAAGAAAAGTAGAAATGATCTAAAGAGATAGATGTGACTACATAATTATATTAATTCAGAGTTTTTTTGGTGAGGCAATTGGGGTTAAGTGACTTGCTCAGGGTCACACAGCTAGTGATTATCATGTATCTGAGGCTGGATCTGAACTCAGGTCCTCCTGACTCCAGGGCTGGTGCTCTATGCACTGTGCCACCTAGCTGTCCCTGTTCAGATTTTTTAAAAAGATGTACACAGACGAAGGAAGCTTTTGACAAAATACAACACTCATTCCTATTAAAAACACTAGAAAATACAGAAATAAATGAAGCTTTCCTTAAAATGATAAGTAGTATCTACCTAAAACCATCAGCAAGTATTATCTATAACAGAGATAAGCTAAAAGACTTCTAATAAGATCAGAAGTGAACCAAGTATGCCCCCTATCACCACTATTATTCAATATTGTACTAGAAACGCTAGCTATAGAAGAGGAGAAGAAATTAAAGAAATTAGAATAGGCAATCAGGAAATAAAAACTACCACTCTTTGCATATGATATGATGGTATACTTAAGAGAATCCTAGAGAATCAACTAAAAATTAGTTGAAATAATTAACAACTTCAATAAAGTTACAGGATATAAAATAAAACCTACATATATCATCAGCATTTCGACATATTACTAACAAAGTCCAGCAGGAAGAGATAGAAAGAGATATTCATTTAAAACAACTGCAGACAACACAAAATATTTGGGAGTCTACCTGCCGAGACAAACCCAGGAACTATATAAACACAATTACAAAACACTTTTCACACAAATAAAGTCAGATCTAAACAAATGGAGAAATTTTTTTCTTTGTCTTTTTTTTTTTGCAAGGCAACTGGGGTTAAGTGACTTGCCTAGAAGGCCGATTTGAACTCAGATTCTCCTGACTGTTCCAGCCACTGTGTCACCTATTTGCCCCTCAAATGGAGAGATATTAATTGCTCATGGGTAGGCTCAGCCAAAACAAAAAAAAATGACAATTCTACATAAATTAATTTCCTTATTCAGTACCATATCAATCAAACCACCAAAAATTATTTTATAGAGCTTGGAAAATTTCAAAATTCACCTGCAAGAACAAAAGGTCAAGAAAATCAAGGGAATTAATGGGGGAAAAAAAAAGTAAAAGTCATACCAGATCTCAAACTATTACAAAGCAGTAATCATCAAAACAATTTAGTACCGGCTAAAAAACTGAGTGGTAGATCAGTGGAATAGGTTAGGTACACACTATACTGTAGTAAATAATCATAGTAATCTAGTGACTGATAAACCCCAAAATCCAAAACTTTGGGACAAGAGCTCATTATTTCACAAAAATTGCTAGAAAAACTGGAAAGCAGTTTAGTAGAAACCAGGTAATATGGACCAAAGGTTCACATTACATTCCAAGATAAGGTCAACATGAGTACGTGATTTAGACATAAGGGTGATATCATAAGCAATTAAGGGAGCGCTGAAAATCTGATCTGCTGGATCTATGGATAAGGGAAGAATCTGTTACCAAGCAAGAGAAAGAGAGCATTATAGGACGCAAAACTGATAATTTTGATTGTATTTAATTAAAAAGTTTTTGCAGTTACTATGGTGTGACCTGACTCTGAAGGATTTTTTTTTTTTTGTGGAAAGGAAATTGAATAAAATTGCCAAATGCTCTGGGACCATAGCAGATTAAAGGGGCTTGAACTGGACTGGACCTTAAGAGATCCTCTTGAAAAATGCTATCCACTGCTGAGTGAAGTGAACAGAACCAAGAGAACTTTGTACACAATAACAGCCACGTTGTGCGATGATTAGTATTGATAAACTGAACCCTTCTCAGCATTACGAGGATCTAAGACATCTCCAGAGGCCTCGGGATGGAAAATGCTGTCCACATCCAAAGAAAAAACTGTGGAAGTTGAATCGCTCTCACTTTTTTTTCTCTTCTGTTGAGTTTTGTTTCCTCTTTCTTTTGGTTCCTCCTATTGGTTTTAATTTTTACTTACAACTTCACTAACAAGAAAATATGTTTAATAGGAATGTAAATGTATAGCCTATATCAGATTGTGTGCTGTCTTGGGGAGGGTGGTGGGGAGGAAGGGGGAAAAAAAATTTAAACTCAAAAGCATATGGAAGTGATTGTTGATAAATCAAAATAGATTAATAAAATTTAAAAAAAATTTTTAAAAATGCTATCCACTCCTACACGGAAAGATGATAATATGTGTAACTCATGAAATATTTGTCAGTATTAGGGTAGGTGGAGGGGAAAAAAATTTATATATATATAGATATATAGATATAAAAAAAGGGCACTGGTTGAGTTGAAGATGAAGGGTGATATCTGGAGAATAAAATTAAGGGGTGAGAGAGGATTATACTGGGAGAAAGAGAAAGGGAGAGGTAGAATAGCGTAAATTATCTCACATAAAACAGACAAGAAAAAGCTTTTACAGTGGAGGGAAGAGAGGGAAGGTGAGAGGGAATGAGTGAATCTTATTCTTGTCAGATTTGGCTTAAGGAAAGAATAACATACACACTCAACTGGGCATGGAAATCTATCTTACCCTACAGGAAATTAGAGGGGAAGGGGATAAGAGAGCGGGGGGGATGATAGAGGAGGGGGCAGATTGGCGGAGGGGGTAATCAGAAACAAATAC